CTGTAAATAGCAAAAAATGCTTGGTTCAATTTTTTGCACACATTGTTGATTTGTTCAGACCAATTGAATTTTTCATCAATCATAGTGCCAAAAAATTTATAGTTCACGCTTATAGGTACCTTTGAATCTACTATTTTGACAGGAATTTCTTCACTGAAAATTGCATGTATTTTGTTCTCTCTAAATTAATAATCAATTGATTGATATTACACCAAAGTACAAAATCTTTAATGACATTGTCTATTTTTATGCAAACTTCTTGGAAAGTATCCCCCGCAACTATTATTGAAGTAGTATCTGCATACATGAATAACCTACCTCCTTTGATAAAGTTAGACAAGTCATTCATATACAAGAGAAAAAGAAGGGGTCCGAGTATACTGCCTTGTGGGGTCCCTAAATCAATTTTTTCGCACTTGCAAAGTTCTGTCCCAATTTTGATATAGTTGTTTCAGTTTCTTATGAACGAAATCAGTGATAAACCTCTACATCGCCCAACCATTCTTGATGAAACTTGACATGTATTATAGAGAAGTTTTTAGGCCATCAATTTTTCTGTAACTCGCCACTAGATGGCGCTGTAGAACAATTTTTGAAAGCACCCTTCTATAACGCTATGCACGCCTAAGTTCGTTGATTCTGATTTTGTCAAAATATTGGAACAGCAGCGATACAGCAACATAGTACTAGTATGATATACTATTTGATTTGAAATCCCTAAAAGAACCAATACAAATTAAAAATAAAGGCTGAAAATAACAATTATATCAAGCAAAAAAACTGTAATCACAATGAAATAAAATACATACAACAATCAAGAAATTGAACTATCAACACGAGATGAAAATTAAAAATTATTAACAAGAAATGAAATTCCAAATCAAAAGATTTCAAGCCAGGTTACTTCCCGACGTTTCGTTTGTTAGTATCCACAATCGTTGATAACTGGACTTATTCGTCGACGGCCATCTTCAGTTCAGACATTTTAGAGCCTACGTCCCTTCATGGTTCATGACTGAGAGGTGGTGGCGAAATGAAAGTCCTAAGACATCAGTACCGCCCTTCACGATGTACCCCTACCTGGCTGGGGTGGGTTGGATGAAAAAATTGTACATCCATTAACGGGGACATAAGGGCCTCATTCGATAGAGTGCCAGGACCTTTTATATCGGGAGGGGTCGTCTACAGTATAATCAATAGCTTCCTTAACTAACGGGTTTTCGTGAGTTTCTGCACAATCAAAAACTCGACGATTCCTCGACTGAATGAACTGCTTAATGGAAGGCAGCTGCAAATCTCTGCGGATGGCTTCATTCCGCAAGCACTACAGAGCATTCACAATCATCCGTATTAGCTTATTTTGTAATCTCTCCAGAATGGAGATGTTAGACGGAGCCGCTTGTCCCCAGACGCCTGAAGCATACATGATGACAGGCTTTAACACCGTGTTGTAGATAGTAAGTTCATTTCTTAGGCTTAGTTTAGATCGTCTGTTGATCAGACGTAAGCTCACCTGTAACCCGCACAACCGTGAAGGTGGTACGGGTTCCAGGTGAGCCTACGATCAAGAGGAGACCGAGGTACTTTACCCGCGCTTTCCAGTCGATCTCCCTTCCAGAGATCCTCATATTTCTGGCAGGAGAAGAAGATGTCGTTCTTCCCATAGTTATCGAGTTTTTTCCGGGTTCACTCGGATCTTCCATTTGAGGTACCAGCGCTTGAGGTCGTCCAATGTTGCTTGTGTGAAGAGATGGACTAATTCCTCCGAGAACTGTCTATCTATAGGTTATTCGATTGCTTTCACCTATTCCCTCTTCCTTCTTTCCGCTTCATCGGTTTTAGCGGGAGCTGACCGTTTGGCGGAAGTTGGTCGCTAGCTTGGCTAAATACGACTTCTCTGAATTTTATCCTGAACCAGTGTCCCTCCTTGTGGATGATTTCAGTTTGGGAACACTTGATGTTATGTTGATGAGTACAAACATGCTCTGCTAGCTATTCCTGATTTGCTGGTTTCTCCTCGCTGTGTGTGTTTTTTGTGCGAGCTTTCAATGGCCTCTTAGTTTCACCGATGTATGATGCTCCGCACTCGCAGGGTATCCGGTAAATGCAATTTTTGGAATCGCAGTCCGCGTTTGGTGGCCTGATTCTCGTGAGGCTTCTATGGATAGTGTTCCCAGATCTGAAGCAGGTTCTGATGTTATACTTGGACCCAATTATTCTTATACTTTCCTCTGATGTAGGGAAGTACAAGTACGGGTCGAGGCGGCTTCTCTTCCTTGTGAGGCAATGACATAAACTTATGAAATTATTATATTGTCACTGATTCTTGGTGAGTATACAAAGTTTAAAATCAATCTGTCCATTTGAAGACAGTAAAAATTAAGTTCAAAGGAGTCATCAAAGAGAAATGTAAAATGAAAACACGAAATTGTTTTTGATCTTTTGTTTTGAAAATAAGAAAGGTAAGATGTCACCCTTAGCACATTAACTCGCGAAATGAGTAGAATATCATGAAATTTCAACAGCTTTCTTTTGAAGGTTAGTACTATCTGATAAGGCGGTGAATGTAATAAGCGCCATCTATGTGTTAGGCCTGAGACTTTTCTGCCATATATTAGATATAGAGATAAATATCAACAGAACTGTTGAACTATTTTTGAGAAGTTGTTGTAAATAACCTCGTGGTTGAACTTGAAAGATTTTGTGGTGCTCAATACAATCAGTTTGTTTGGTTTCAGGTAAATTTCCCTGTAGCGAAATTAGGTTAGAATAACTTCATTGAAATTCCTTTAGATTTATTCAGCTCAATGAATTCTTCTGTTATTTCCATTCTGTCGATTTGTGTACTGAGTCATAATCGATGAGAAACCCTTCCTCAAGATGTGCAGTAGATGTGTAGAAATCTGTTATCAGTCTCTTAAATTATTCGAGCCGTAAACATCCAAATTCAGGACCGTATGAAATTTTGAAGTGAATTGCATAAACAAATTTTGAATAGTCAAACTCGTGAAGTTATTTTTGAGGGCCTTCTCAATGGCCATGACTCAGTCCGGCAGCATATGAACTTATCCCTTGAAAATGTAATTCACGTGAAAAGTAACTCCTCCAATTATTTTATAAGAAAGAATAATAAATACAACTGAAAAACTCTTAATATGTTTTTTATATTTGAAAGAGTTTATTTCGGTGTTCTTCGCCTCTCTAAGGCTTGAATAATGTTTTCAATTGGTTAATTGGGTGGCGAGACTAATATCTTCGTCAATTCCTAATTGCGGTTAGCTCGGTCCTGGTCACAGTCATCGTCGAGAATTAAACGGTCCGACGCTTAATCTGAATCAATTCCTTCGAGCCAAAACAAAGCCGATTACTTCCGAAGAAATTAAATGTCTTTCCCTAGGGAGAACTTCTTCGTTTTCTGCGCGAAACGTTTCAGTATTGCGTTAGCGGATTCGCGTTCTTGGAATCATCTAGAAAACATTCATCCCCTGCTTCTTGATGGTCGGAGTAGTGATGGAGGATGACGATTCTGTATCAGTAGAGTGAGGAGGGTGAGTGTAGGCCCACAGCACTTAGGTCACATGTGACCATTGTACATCCTCCCGAGGAGTTGTCCTCCTAGGTCATCGTCCATCACGTCCTTTCCAGGAATGTAGACAGGTCGCTGGGAGACATCACCTTTATATCGGCAGGCCAAGACTCGCCGAACACACACTCTCTTATTGACGATAACTCTGGACACTCGCATAAGACATTCCCAACAGTTTCATCTTCCTGCTCATACATCCTGCATAGAGATGTGTCCAATAGCCCCATAATATAGAGGTGTTTCCTCAGTTGACAGTGGTCAATCAGAAATCCTACAGTTAAGCGTAGGTTTTTCCTGGTCATCGCCAGATATTTTCTCGGCGCCAGCTTTCCAGGGTTGCCCAAGGTAATCCTGGCTAAAGAGTCGTCAATGCGATTACCTTTACTTATGTCGTGCCCTTTAACCCACCTCAGGATAATGTTACTATCTACCTAGGCTTCAGTTAAATCTTGGTGGCACTCTAGTACTAGCCTTGAGGTAACTAGCTTTGTCTACTATTACTGCAGATTGTTATGTTTCTTCCAGAAATTTCTTTCCTGGTTATATCTTTTGTGGCGATTGAGATACCAACCAGTTCAGTTTGAACCACGCTGGTATTTTTCCCATTCCTCACTCAACCCTTAGGCTTAGTGATCTGGAGTAAACTCCACATCCTGAGTCTTTTCAGCCATCTGTATATATGCGTATTGCATTTGGTGCATCTGTCTCTGTGTTCTGTTTATTTGTTTTTGTAGGGTTTTTTAAACACGAACCTGGGGCCAATTGCATCACTAGCTGCCTGCAGCAGGGGTTGCGCAGTAAACGCTTCTCGCCATTCATCTCTCGGAGGAATCAGTCCAGTCATCACCCGAAGACGATTGAAGATACAAACAATCGAAACTTCGTGAACTAACGTGGCTTGGAATCTCTTAACTTTTTATTATTTTTATTTTCATTTTTATTTCTTTATTTTTTCCAATTGTTCTATTTTATCTCATTATTATTTCATTTCAGGTAATTTTTGCTCAATATAATTGTTATTTTCAGCTATTCATTTTTAATTTTTTTTATTGTTTCAGGGATTTCAAATCATTTTATATATTAGACAATGGAAATTTGAACTAGTGAAATTCATTTATGATGTGTGCACAGAATAAAGTTCCATTTCGTTTTCCTTGGAGAAACAATGTTATCCACAAAGAAAAAGGAAGTCGATTGATCTTTGATATATCAAGTATTTTCAACGTAGGTTCACTACTTCTGAAATAAGTTTGGTTATAAGAGGGGATTAATTTCCTTTTCTTCTTCTCAACTAGATCCATCAATTACACCAACCTTTTCAGTGGTGTTTATGTGTCAGTGCGCGCATTGCAAATCTCATGTTTCATTTTTAAAGTATGTTAGGGTATGTTTTAAATCTTGTGTTTTGTTTCAGATCTTCTTGGGGCTCAGACTGTACCAATAATGCTCAATGGAGAAGAATCAGAACTTACATTTCAAAATGCAGCTACTTTAAAGGTAAGTTTACAAACTCTTCTGAAATAACTCTTCTAAAACAACATTCGAACAAGATTTGTATTGTTGGAATTGAATTGAATGAGCGAATAAATGTCATAGAAACAGCTCAATATCAACCAAACATCCGGCTCTGATGAAACAACCCGTCATCGTACTTAAATGAACTCGCACCAGTATTTTGCGGACTTTTCAACTTGTCTTACAAGAAAGGGTTTTTTCCTTCTTGTTGGAAGATTGCTGGCATTCAGCCTATTCCCAAAAGGGGCAAGAAAAATCTTCCAAATAACTACAGACCAGTCACTTTGCTAACAGTGATATCAAAAATCATGGAGAAAGTCGTGGACCATTATATTCTCAAATATTTGGAAGGCTTCAACATCTTGAGCGATCATCAATATGGCTTTCGGAAAAAAAGATTAACAGCGACCTTCTATATCGTATGTCACCCATATTTGGATTAACGCAATCGAAAAACATGGAGAGTAGTTGTTGTTTTTGACCGTATGCGGCATGAGGGTTTGCTGGCCAAACTCCGATACTACGGCTTATCGCATCATTTCTGTGTATAGCTCTTCAGCTTCCTGTCATCCGCCTGATTAGAGACGCGAACATCACGTGCAACCTTGATAGCCTGGAACATCGAAGAAAGATTGCAGATGTTTCGCTCTTGTATACAGGGCTATTCAAATTCGTTTCTGTACATGGGGATCTCGTAAACGATAAGAGATAGAGTGTAGGTTAAAGTGTGGCAAAGTTGCGTATTTTAGAGACCTATTCAATAATGTGAAAAAATCTAATATAGCTCTCTTGGTTCTGAAGATATACAGGAAAAACCAAAAAATCCCAAATTATTTTTTGTCTATATTTTCTTTATTCGCACACATATTGAAAATCTGTCCACATTTTGCTATTGTCACTTGATGTGAGCTATCAGAATGTGTCCATGAATCTTTTATACAGGGTGTCATCTGACTTGGGCCACCCCCATCTTTGAGTTTTTGAATACGGACCTGTATTTTTTGTTGAAGTTTTTGTATGGTCGACGTTCACTTCATACTGAGAAATTAAATAAAATTGTTCATTAGGTAATATTTGATTATAATTGTGTAAATTATTCCTTTTCAAATTGAGGTCCTGGAAATTGGTTGACTGAGTTGAATAAAAACATAATAGCAACTTTCACGTCTTCCTAAGTACTGTAGAGTTTTTTTCATTCCTAGGTACTTATTCATATTTTTTCCATTGCTCTGGGCGTTTTTTACAATGAACTTCGAATAAGAAAACCTTTTATGATTATCTGAAACATATCTACATCAAGAATATAATATAAGTGTTTCAGTAAGCAGAAAAAGAAATAATAGCAATGATAACATCCAAAACGCATTGTTGCGAAATCATTCAAAATCCTCAATCTTGAGTCTTCCACATTTTCTATCTCTCTGCCAGGGTAAATCGTATTTTTCAATGTCCCCCATAGAAAATACTCCAAAATAGTAAGATCTGGTGATCTTGCAGGCCAACTTATTGGTCCATTATTTGTCTTGAAATGGAAGGACTCCAATTCGAACATTTATTGCGCAATAAATTTTTTTGTTTATATAAATTACTTCACGTATTCCAAAAACACTTTATTGTGAGATTTTCACTAAATTATTTTACAAAAACGCAACACGTGTTTCGCCATACAATGGCTTCATCTGGCGTGTCTTTCAACTCTTCAATTACTTCATTTCAATTTTCATTACAATTATAGTGTTCGTTTCGGATGTTATTATTGTTCATTTCTCTAAAAACTCTACGGTACATAGGGAGACATGAAAGTTGCTATTGTGTTTTCATTTAACTCAGTCAACCAATTTCCAGGGCCGTATTTTAAAAGGGAATAATTTACCCAATTATAGTCAAATATTACGAAAACATCACGAAATATAAAATACAATTCAATTTCTCAGTATGAAGTGAAAGTCTACGATCCAAAAACTACAACAAAAAATATAGGTCCGTATATAATCCAACGCCCTTCGTGGTATTAGCCAGGGGAGAATTTCCGTATCCTGTAGCATTTATATTTGTTCTTTTTCAATATAGTTCTGGTGGATTTTACAGAAATCACCATTTCGTGAACAATTTTTCGTAAAGAGTAATCTTGATTAACATAAATTGTGTAGCTGGCCAATCCTAAATTTGAAATAAAAGATGGTTTCACAGTATGAATTTTTATGTTGTAATATTTGCTTACCCATAACATTTATTTCATGCCTCACATTTCCAGTAATCACACATTTTCGTTTTCCTTTTATCAAATGCACCAAGTCCCTAAAATTTCTTTCTAATCTTCTAAACATTTGGATGTTCGGAATACGACGATTTCAGTGTAGCTCAACATACATATTCCTTGCCAAAAGAGAATTTCTATTTGACTTTGCATAACTTAATAGCATATCAGCCCTTTCATTATTTGAATACATTTGATATATTCCTAAACGTCTGAGAGTTCTCAACATCTATCAACAACGCATTCATTTTTCCTACCATAGAAACCAAGCAAAGCATACGCGTTGAAGATGGTAAATGAACTGAGATGCTATTTGATCATAACAAATTATGCAACAATCGAATTCGACCAATAACTGATATTTTCGTTACTTTCAGGATTGAGAATAATAAAAATAATACGAATTATAATTGATCCGAAACGAAAAAGAACGAATTTTCATTGTGTTAGGGTACCTAGTTGTCGAATTTATTGGATTGCCTGAATTATATTTCGAAGGGATCAAAACGATTTATAAAACAAATAACGGCAGGACCGTAATTCAAAATTGTTGTCACTGATGATGGTAGTTATTTAAAAAAACACTATAAAAATATCAAATGTTATATATTCTCACCCTTGGATTGTGAATTTATTGCTTTATCAATACCTGTAATAATATTTGTTACGCTTCAATTCAGAATATAGCAATGTTACCACATGATAAAAGAAATGGCCTGTATAAAGAAAACTTCAAAAATGCTTCAGTAGCAAAAAAATTATAAATAATCTTCATCCTGAATTGAGAAATCCCAAATGTTGCAAGTTCTTTACTATCGAGAGATTCCTGAAACATCTGCATCTTGCAACGGGTCATCTTCACTGTTTACTGTACAAGTGTTAATGTGTGTTATATTTAGTCTCCGATCCAGAAATAAACGCATTTACTTCAATCCAATGGATTTATTTTCGGAAGTTTGTAAGAACGTATGTAAATTTAGACTACGAAGTGGTATCTTCTGCGCAACATCGCTCGAAGAAATATCGGCCACTTCAAAGATTTAGATTACTCACGTAGTGAATGATGGGTTTCATGTGTTTACAAAAATCGAAAGAGATAATTTTGCGGGAGATGAGTTCAAGAGAATTGGCCTTGATTTTCAGCCAAGTTGAGGACAGATATCTCTCAGTTTTCTCGTTGGTGCCTCCAGTTTTTTACAGATTTCTTAACCTTCTAAATTATCTACAAGAATTTTTTTTACCGAAATTGATATACCCGTATAACTTCACAGCAAACCTATACATTAGTGTATATTTTCTGGTGTAAAGAAAAAAACAACCTGTAGTCTGGTTTACCAGTGAACTAAAGTCGCAAAGAAATATAATAATGGGTATAAAAACTATATACGAACTTAAGGGTTTATAAAGATTTCAAAAAAGATTACGAAAAAAATCTAATTAGTTTACCGTATTTCCATGGCATTACAAAATTCCATCTGGTCGTTTACCATCATCTCGACTGGTACCTAAGGGTTCCAAAATTGCAAGAACATCCACTGACAACATACTTCGTTTCAATATGTCGTTCACCTGGTGATGTCGAGATGTACGCCCTGCACGCACTTCTCCTGCAACTCAAACCATGCGTACCTTTCTTATCAACTACGCTACTGCAAATACAAGTATGAGGCACACAAATAGATGAACCCATCCTAAGTCCTAGTGCTATTATGAAAGATTCATCGTCTAATAGTGTTCCGAGAGATGCAACAGGTAAAGCATTCAGCCAAGCACCCGATTCCTTGATCATTGCTGCTTTCAGACAAGCCTTATCGTATACACTTGTAGATTTCAGGAGTTTTTTATCATTTATAATGTTTAGAAGAGGTCGGTCTCATGCCCTTTGTATTTTCATTTTATCTGTAGGAGGAGAAATATTAGTTGCGGCATGCCAAAATGATTTACCTTCAGCATAAAAAACGTCTTTGATATTGATAAATATGGAAGGAAGGATGGAATCGACGAGATCAGAAACACTATTGACTGACGACAGAAAAGCTAGTAGAACTAAGGAAGAAGCCGAACGTAGCCGTGGGGGAACATCTGAGGGCGTACATGAGTTTTGAAATCGCCAAAAAATGTTTCAAAAGAAAAAATGCAACGTGTTTAGGAAGTTCATTCAATCTGGTGGTCAGCAATTTGAGTGGGAAAGAGGAGCACCCAGGAGACTTCATTTAGACTTTTCCAAAATTCTTATACTACGAGAAAATTTCAAAATGATGGATTCGGAAATATTATTCGGGGTTGAAAGAGTAATCAACTCGCATTTATCAAAATTCAGTTCAATTCAGTTAGGTTGATGAACTTCTAGTGAGTTCGTTGATGGTCAGACGAAAATCAACAGGTCCTAAGGAATCACCTTGTTGAACACCTCTCTCAGATAGAATCAGATGTTCACCAAAACACTGACTCAAGAAGAGATATAATCCTGGAAACGAATTTTTAACCTAAGAAGCAAGATGTTCCTATCAATCATGTTGAAAGCATTTCTGAAATCTATTTGTCAATCGTTACCAAACCAACCTTTTCATTATCATAGAATATCAAATCGGTCAACATACTCCACTCAATTTTGAGTGATGTTATCTCAGAAATGTTTTTCATTGGCATTGGCAACCGAAATGTAAATATTAATGTTCATCTTCAGTTTATCTTTCATGATTACATTTTAACCTTGGTCTTGGGATCGATTATTTATTTATGTGGCATTTTCATAAAAATATGAAGGAATCATCGCTCAATTCAACTTGAGTTATTCTGAAACTCGTTCGTTGTTATTCATTGGAAAATATTGTGGGTGAAATTATGGTTATTTCACCATAGATGTCAAGTGCAGCTGTGAGATAATCAACGATAGCGTTCTCCGAAGTATATCAAAGGATATAGGACATATTTTTTGCAACTTCACAAGCCGTTTTTGGCAAGTCCCCTCCAACACCTCAGGGTTCCATATTTGAGCCACTTCCATTCATAGTTTTGTTAAATGATTTGCTTGAAGGTAGTTGACAATGTTTCATGATGCATTTCTTTAATTCGAACTTCCATTATCTAATATGATATAAAATGATTTGAAATGCCTGAAAGAATCAATAAAATTCAAAGAAATTTGCTAAAAAAGTAACAATTATATTGAGCAAAAAAAAATGAAATTGCAAGCAAATAAAATACAAGCAACAATTGAAAACTTAACAATCAACAAGAAAGGAAAATCAGATTTCAAGCCAAGTTACTTCACGACGTTTCGATTTTTAGTCTCTACAACCGTCTTCGGGTGATCACTCGTATAACTCTGCAATAGCAGTACGTCTGTATTCGTGAACGTATAAACGTAATATAAATAACGCCATCTCTGGAAATAGTTTCTATTACTGGTAATCTAATGATAAATATTTGTGTTTATGTTCAATTTATCTCTCATGATCACTTTGATGTTCATTTCGTTCGATTATTTTCATAGTGTATCGATGAAAACAACGGGATATAAACAGGAGGAATCGCAATTCAATTCAATCGGAAACAATTTATCTTCATTCGAACATGTTGTCTCTATTATTCTCGCCATTTATCGTGCAATGCGTTCTGCACCAAGAAGTGTAAATATTTTTCCAATATCGAATCTTTCTTCAGTCAAAGGAAGCGTAATAATCCTAGGAATGTATTGTACTGGTATGATTTCTTAAGGCATCAAATTCTAGGCCCTGGTTACGAAAACTAATAGTACTTTCAAATTTGACTCTGAACGTAGAAACATAACAATAAGTGTACCATAAGGCTCCATATCAGGTCCTATTTTGTTCAATCTCTATGTAAACAGCTCCGACTCTGTAGTTAAAAGACAGTAGTTACAAATCCTATGCTGACGATTCCTCATTGACTATCTCTGCACCTGCACTACAATTCCAGAAAATAAATGTACAAGGGCATTAAAACGAGTATGCAGTTTTTTCAATGGGCAAGATTAATTTTTCAACGTAGATAAAACGTATGTTAGGTTTTCTTGTTGTTTTCAAGCATGTAGAGGTGATGAACTATACTGAATGGAAAAATATCAAACTGAAGATATGGAAAAAAATTATGACTTTTCCTGATACGAAGACAAAAAAATCACGCTCATTCATTGTAGTGGAACATTCGATTTCCCAGAGAAAATATGGGGATTGTAGACCATCAGGCTGGTTATTTGATTTTTTTAATTGAACTTGTGGTATAGAAACAACGGTGGGGTATTCATAAATGGAAAAGGAAATTCTAAATTGAAGGATGGAAAATGACAGAAGAAACTGCAAAATTCTGAAAATTACCATAAATGGGAAAGAAAATTCTGAATTGAAGACTGGAAAATGCCAGAAGAAACTGCAAAATTTTGAAAATTACTAAACCCAGAAACATTTACTGGGCATTGTGTCCACAGAAATTCTGCTACATTGTTAGTGGTGGGACAGTTATTGTTATTAGCTGTAACACCTTTTGAAAAAACATTCCAAAACTCACCTTCTGTACAATGAAAAGTGATTGTTTTTCAATTTCTCGACGAAATCCTAAAAAATCACATTTTTACCGACAAACCCAATATGGAAAACGATAATTTTTATATTTTTTCTTTTCTTCGTCGTCCAACCCAAACTAAATGGCCGAACCTTCAACTTTCTGATTATAAAAATAAAGGATTTTGTTGCACCCATTTCTTTTTTTAAATAAAAACGAAAATTTTGTGTGGGTTTGTTGGGCACAGCAATTTCTATTGGCACTTATGAAGGTTGTTAGTTTGTACTTACTCGAAGTATTGTCATGTTCTGTATTATTTTCTGTTTTTTTTTAATTATTCATCAATATTAGAGTTCAAATTATGACGGAATTCTGAATTTTGTTGTATTTAATTGCGATAATAGACTTGTAAGCTGGTCTTGATGAAACAACACTTTTTTCTTAACCAAATAGAGCAGATTTTGCTCAATTTCGTCATTCAAATATTCTCATAATACTTCGCCGTTGATAGTTTTACCTTTTTTAGATAGTCAATGAAAAGTATCCCACACGCATCCCAAAAAAGCGATGGCATGACCTTGCCTGCAGATGAAACGGTCTTTGCCTTCTTTAGAGCCTGTTCTTCCTTTCGAGTCCACTGTTTTGATTTTTCTTTCGCCTTGGGTATGAAGTGATGGACCCATGTTTCATCCATGGTTATAAAACGACGCAAGAATTGTGCTTTGCTGCTGTGAAACTTTGCCTAAACACTCAATAGAAACATCTTCACGACACTGTTTTGGCACGAGTGTGAGCAAACGCGGCACCCAAATTGCACAGAGGTTTCTCATGTCCAAATCTTCAAATAACATACGACGTACCACACTTTTTGAAATTCCTAATTAGTCTGCTAGCTGGCTCACTTTCAGTCGATGATCATTTTGTACCGCTTTGTGGATTTTTTCACCGTTTCTAGAGTCGTCACCTCATTTGGTAGACCACTGAGATGCTCCTCTTGGCAGCTTATACGGCCTCGTTTAAACTCTGCTACTCAATAATTCACTGTTGTAAACGAAGTAGCCGACTCACACAGGGCAGAATCTAGTTCACCTTTTAAATTGGTTGGGCTGAAGCCTTTCAAATAATTGTACCATATAACGATGAACAATTTTCTCCATTTTCAAAAATTCACCGAAAACTTTCGCTATTGATGGCTGCCAAACAAATACTAAATAACGCAGCGTCTTCAAACTTGAAACGTATGCGTCATAGATTGTGTACTTCCTAACACAGTGATATTTTTTAAACAACTACCGCCATCTCTAGGTCAGGCCGGGTACTCCTGAGACCACCCTCATTTATGGAAAAAAAAAAGGAAAAGAGATATGTTTCAATGCCCAATCATTATGAAACATTGTTATTGTCTGATCATTGAGAAAGTCAGTTCTATGAATTTCATAAGTTTCATTTAATTTAATTTTGAAGTCGACTCAATTTTTTTTCAATTACTACCTTTACTTTTTCCAATTCGCAACACCGAGATACCTTTCCACTATATTTCCTAGTATTGCTATCAATTTTGCTAGTTAATGAGTTAGGCAGATTGTTCGCGTGGGAGACAATAAAAAATGAATAATTCATACTCCTGCCAAGAGTTCCTGAAACACGAATCGATTTTGATTTCAGGACTTCGACATGAGTCATCCACCCGACGCCTTCATCGTCCTCTACAGCGTGGTGGACAAGGCCAGCTTTCTGAAAGCGGAAGTGGAACTGACAAGGCTGCAGGACGCTGACCTCCTGCGATCCCGACCCGCGATTGTTGTTGCCAACAAAATCGACTTGGCCAGAAGCAGGGCTGTATCGACTCAAGGTAAAAATGACGTCCGTTTGTGTGCATGTGTAATGTAGTGGGAATTTTTCGCTGACCAATATCAGAATTCTATGAATATAAATGTCAAAATCGATAATGATCTGACAATTGGGATCGTCTGGTGCCGTGAGCAAAAATGGTGTTATTTTGAAACGGTTTATGAGCAATTATAACGTTCCCTCACTTCTTTCTTGATCTAGAGCAGTGGTCGCCAACCTCTTCAATGTGTTGAGCTACTTTGTTAATTTTGGATTAAACAGCGAGCTACCCTCACGGAAGCCACGTAACGCAACGTAAATGAAATAATCCACAGTTAATTTATCATGATATGTATTTATTTTACTATTTAGCTGGTAACATATAATACATATAATAAACTAATAACAAAATAACTAATATTACTAGTACGTACTTGTTCATAGCTACATTCCTACCTATCAAACGAAGGTGTTTGAAAAATAAACACAAACTTTTATCTAGCCACAACGGCATGTCACGTATGATTTAAAAATAGTTAATAATACCAACAAAAAAGTAACGCACTATCATGAACATAAACATTGAAAAATAAAAAAGCACGTTCAATGAGAAGGCTGACACTCAGACTCATCGATAATTTTTTTAATGTTTGCAGTATAATTTGATGCAGCCATTCGAATACAATTATCCAAATGTTC